AAGAATTACCTAACTTTGAATGGTCTAGTAATAACAATAATAACAAACTTACAGTTGCGTTGGATGTTAACTTGGCCCAAACAGTGTTTGAAATTTTGGGCTCAAATACTGTTCTCATACGGTGTATCTCTTTAAAGGATTTGCAGGCAAATTTTTGATCAAAATCGTTTTTAATAGTACAACTCATATAAATAATAATGGATCCCCCCAGGGTTTAAAATTGACACACACATATATAATATAGTAATAAGTAATAATAAAGTATATAATAAAATATTCGCTTTTAAGTAAAGTTCTTCAAATTCTTGATTATTTTTGATTATTTTTATATAGTGAATATTGACACTTAAAATGTATTTTAATATAAAGTATATAATAAGAAAATACTGATATATGGTACAGGTTTAGAAAAGATTACAAATTTTTTCATTATCACTATAGCAATAGTCTTTAATGCTAGAGATTATTAATTTATCTGTTTAGTAAAAAATCTAACACAAAAAAAAATAAAAAGTAAAAATTTTAAAAGATGCCAAATAAACATGAAATAAAAAATTCATAAAGTTAAAATTTTTAACAATATAATACTCTTTCTACTGATTATCAAAACACAAATTTTTACAAAAAACAAAACATTAAAACTAACAGAACTTGAGAATGGTACTAAGAAGTAAAGCTTATATAACTAAGTAAAGAGGAAAAAACACAAAACAACATTTTGTCTTTTAGAAGACTAGAATTGAGAAATCAAAAACCAACAAACTATAAAAAAAAAACTTAAAAATACAGCAGTTTTTCACTACTTATAAGCAATTTTTTATGCAAACACTTAATTCTGTAGTGCAGATCTGTTGACATAATATAACTATGCAACATATAACAAAAAGAAAACAAAACAACTATGTAAAGTGAATCAACGCATAACAAATATAACAAAGAGAAAAACAACAATATAAGAAATAAGTTATATAAAGTATATAAAAAATGAATTTTCTAAAACTAATTAATTAGCACAAATTAGAGTGGCTGCAAGATGCATAATAGAAAATTTATTAGATAAAATAGATAAACTAAAGTAGAAAAATATAAAAAAAATATAAAAAATACTTCAACAAGAACACAAAAAAAAAACTAGAAGAAAAATATTATAATTTTATATTAATACACAAAATTAATACTATATAGTCAAACACAACTAGCCAAAACCAAATTTTAATCTTTTTATATGCAGAAGAAATATATCTTAAAAAAAACTAAAAAAGTTGTATATAAAAAATCTAACACAATGAAGAAAAAATTAACAAATCAAGAAAAACAAAAGAATATTACAAGATTTAGCCAGAGACTTAAAATATAAGGTTAAAAAAATACAAAAAAAACAGACAAAAAGAAAAAAAAAACTAAAAGCAATTGATAAAAGCAAAAATAAAGAAAAATAGAGAAAAAGATATAAAAGGAATTAAAATAAAGAAAACTTTAGAAAAAATTAACAAAAAGACACAATATAGAATAATTAGAGCAATACAAAATATAAAACCAAGAAGAATATAAGTTATAGAAAATAGGATAGAAATACAATATCTATAATAGATCTTAGAAAAACTACAAAATAAATAAGAAGATTAAGATTTTATCATAAAAAATAGCAAGAATATTGTTATAGAACAGTTTATTATTTTATTAGTTTATTATTCTGATATTGTATTTTATTATTTATTTTATTATTA